TTTTTTTTTTTTTTTAAAAAAAACAAATGTCATAATCAATTGTAAATTTTTTTTTCACTTTAATGGATAATTTTCATGTAAAATAAAGTCAAAAGAACACTAAATTTTGATTAAAAAAATGATTTTTTAGAAAACAATTTTTTTTTTTTTTTTTTAACTTTTGGTAATGGAAACAAATTTTATAACCAATTGTTGAAAAAACACTTAAAATCATTTTCCCTACAAAACATTTTCTAGACAAATCTTTTCCTAATAAAATATTTTCTTTTCACTCATTTTTCACCCATACAATAATGCACCCTTAGATTCATTAATTGTCTACATATATTTACGTCACTCCGGAAAAAAGCACTATGCGCCGTCGTTTAGATGCATGCACAACTACACAATTACGTATATTTAATGGAAAACTACTGAACAGCTGCTCTCGCAGCTTTCGACTGATTTCCACCTGGCATTAATATTAAATCAGAAGTATTTTTCCCCAAATTATCTCAAGTTCATGAACCTTCATTACATTCTGAATTATAAATTCTTAAGGAACGGAGTTCTCGGACTACTTTCTATGAATCACTGATTAAAATGGAAAGATCATAGAAATATCTCTCTGATTTTATAATCTGCATGTAAGTTTATCGTGAATTTGAATATAATTTCCCGCAGATTATTCTGGTTTTGTTTGATTTCAGGTTTATATGAATTAAAAAAATCTGCTGTTTTATTCCATGTTGAATGCTAATATCTTCTTTTAGTCTGTATTTTAATTTATCTACATGTCGTTGTCAACTTGGTAATCTTGGGATGCCATATTTCTTCTTAGACATGATTCTGTAATTCTATTCGATAAATTAATGTCTTGAGGATCGTGAACAACCAATAATGATATCAACTCAGGGACTAGGAGTAAAAAATAAAGGAATTGTTCGTAGACAACTCTTGAAATTGCCAAATTACCATCTGTTTTGGGGACTCAATCTGAGCTTCATGAATTTGATTTACTTGGCACTTTTATAGCATATTCTTTCTTATGCTTTAACTAAGCAAGAGAAATTAGTAATTGAAGCAATAGAGAGCTTTGCCTCTACAGATAAGGTGATACAGAAGTGCTTCGCCAGCTAGTAACCATGGGATATCTACAATTTCTTTTTAGGCATCTCTCATGGGAGTTGAGTCAAAGGTTGGGTCAACAGTGAGTTTCTGTGGGAGAATAATTCAGTGAGTTCTTTATGATTGCAAGAGTGGCAATTGCTTTCTTAAACTAGTATAGGAAGTTTGTATCTTAAGATTGTCTGGATGAAGAGTTGATGATGAAGATGAAATTTAATGAATAATCGACTATAAGTTGATTTTCCATTAGCATTACATCCACTTAAGGAAGTACATCACCATAGATTAACTCTCTCTATCCCAAACTACCTTTTATCGCCAATCTATGTTTCATATAACATTTCTAAAAGTATTATAATGTATCATTATTTGATAAAGCTGTTTTTATGCTTTAGTCCTGCTGCTGACAATATTTCTTATAAAGCAATTTATACTTATTCATGCCTCAATCACTAACTCAATGCATAGCTGGGTGTGATTTAGTGAAAGCCTCTATCCACATTCTGCGTATATTGTTGGAGCAGCTTGCAACATGGGTTTCTTGAATCTCTTTGCTGTTTCATCAATGCCTGTCCTCAAAGTGCTTTTGGTGACTGGACTGGGATCATATCTTGCAATTGAACGTATTAATATTTTGGGAGGGGATGCAAGGAAGCATTTGAATAATGTAAGTGTCCATTATATGCATGGATGGTAGTTCTTTCTATATTCTTCCAGTTTAAGTTTCTTTTTCCTGATGCCAATATCAAAATGTAGAGGTCCATGACTCAAATCCTCATTACATGCTTAAATTAATCAATTGGAGAAAGAATTCCATTGAGATCTCCAATGTCTAAAGCACTTAAGCTAACTCCGTCTATGTCTAATTGTTCAGACTTTCTAGCTCTACTTTTATTTTTTATCCTCTCTTCAGTATTTATCATTCCATTAATGTTTTAATTCTTAACCAGAAATTGATTGTCACAAACAAAAATTGTGCTGTAAAAAATGAAATTTTGCGCTTTTCTGGATATATTGAGGTAAATAAGCTGTCGCTAGCTTTATCAACCAAAAACCTCTTATAATCATCAGCCACCCCCTAGCTGAGTCAGAATAAGATGACCATTCTTTAATGAGATGCCCAGCTTTTCAATTAGCTTCCCGTTCTCAAAATCATTGCGTGTTCAGCCTCCATTCTCATTAAAGAATATCTAGAATTGTATGCATGCCTACTGCATTTGTATCACTGCAACTATACTTTGAACCTATTGGCGTTTGTGCTATTGAAAGCTACAAAATATTTAACTAGACCTCTAACTAGTTAAGGTGAAATTAAACTCTCTGATTCGGCAACTTTATTCCCTGAAAAAACTATGATTTTGTTTTGATTCTTATCCGTAATTTTGGAACCAGACTAGTTTTGTCCTTACTGTGCTTTTGCTTACCTAAAAGGAAAGATTCTTCTTCTGATTCACAATATTTATCTGAATGCTTCTTAATATTTAAAATATTTAGATATTCTATACCGGTTTACTGTCTGTTACATACCACGATATTAGAAATAGTCCTGAAGTACTACTCTGGTTTTCCAACTCAATCTATTTCTCCAGTTTGTTTGTTCAGGAGGACTGTCTCAGAGTCCCTGTGAGACACAAACCATTCTTCAAGTGAATTGATTGTCTATTGCTTAACTAACTGGATATTTGTTATGAACAGATTGTGTTCTTTGTTTTCAATCCAGCACTTATCTCGAGCAATTTAGCCAAAACAATAACATACGAAAGCATGGTTCAGATGTAAACTTCTCTTACTTGTTCCACTCGTACAATATCGTTTCCTTTCATTTATCCTCCTTCCGCTTCTCTTAACATATAATATTGAGTGTAGCACTGGCTAAACTTGCAGGTGGTTCATGCCATTTAATATCCTTATAACATTCATCATTGGTTCAGCTCTTGGGTGGGTAGTCATTCAAATTACAAGAGCTCCTCCACATCTCCACGGACTTGTTATAGGTTGTTGTGCTGCAGGTGTGTAATTATCAATAAAACTCACAACAATAAAAATAGAAATAGTAAAGGATATTGCTTTTTGCACAAGGTGCAGATGCACATCTGGTAGAGAAGATCAAGAGTCGAATTGTTTTAGATTTCATGTATTGCTGGCTGCTCTTTATTTCTGAGTACTCTATTTAATTTTTCCGGTGAGGTTGAATCTTTCTTGATAGATAAACATATTATGGAAGAAAAGAGTGGAGATTGAGAGACATTTACTATTTGTTCAAAATTACAAACTGAATGCCATTAATGGACTTGTACTTCTCAAAAGTTTTGTTTATTAATCAGATGATTGAAGTTCTTCAAATATAATATATAATGGTGAGGGCTAGACCAAAATGGCCAATTTTATTTCTCACATATACATCCTGACTTGATGTCTAAAAGAAAATAGTTGCCGGGCTTCAGATGAATATTACCTTGTTAATATTTTTCTGTATGAGAGGTCTGTGAACCTAGTGCGTGCTTTTATTTTTTGTTCATTTCTACTTTTATACAATTTTACTTTATTTCTTTTCTTTTCGTCAGTCTTTCTGATGTAAGGAGTTGTTATAGCAAGGAATGTCGTGCTTCCATGAGGATAAGGAGAACTCTAATGTTGTTCTTTGGTGAAAGTAAATGGTTCAAGGGCTAAAATGTGGACACCACTTTTGCACATTAGAGATAAAGAGAGAGGGGGGAGGGGGAAGGATGTTATGGTTACAATTGAAAATATTTTGAAACCATTCTTTAAATCTCTCTTGGCCAACCCATCCAAAGAAAAATTATCTTCCGAGACAAATTCAATAACGAAAGAGAAGGATAAAAAGGAGAGAAATTTTAAGAAGAAATCAGAGGTCCATTTAGCAAATATTGCATGGATTCATCCTGATATCTGCTTTGTGTTAACAGGCAACTTGGGCAACATGCTTATCATCATAATCCCAGCGGTCTGTAAAGAGAGAGGAAGTCCATTTGGAGATCCTGATGTTTGTTCTGAATATGGAATGGGTTATGCTTCTCTGTCAATGGCAGTAAGTTTTAAATGACTTTTTAGGGTCTAAAAACCTTTGTTAATTGCTGATTGTTGTGAAATCATATATGACATTTCTTACAATCGCTCGTGTGAATAAGCATTTGTAAATAATGACATATAATATTTTACGAGTCCTCTGCTGATTTTTATTTCTAGTGTGCATGTGTGTCGCCACATCTTCAGATGGCTGTAAGAGTTCATCTATATTGTGTAAATCAGACATAGAACTCTTGGTACTGATATTTCCATAAAGTTTGATAAAACACATAAAATGCAAAGTGAAACTAGATTTATATAATCATGGATATGAATTATGATCTCAGTATTCGGCGTTAAATCCAATATAATGGAAGGGAGAACAGAAGGTGGATCCTAAATTAAATAGGAAGAGATGTTGCCTTATCTATATATTTGATGTGTTTGAATCAATTTATATTAATTATTACAATTTCTACTACTTTTTGGTTGACTGGATCCTAAAATTTTATCTCATGTTGCTTGTTATGGTGTTTCAGATAGGGGCAATTTATCTATGGTCCTATGTATATAATATTATAAGGATATCTTCAAGTAGGAACTCGAAGGAAGTTGAAATAGACGACTTATCAATCACGAAGTCTTCTGCAGAAAGTTCTATGGTTCCATCTGGTAGCAGTTCCATAGAAGTGGTAGAACCTTTACTTTCTTCAAATCAGTTGGCACTTCCACAAACTAGATTTGAGGAGAAGCCTCAGGTTGTTTTCTTCTTTACTGCTTAGATCTTTAATAACTGCATATCAAGTGCATCTTCAAGCTATGATGTTGTACTGATTCCATATAAAAATCATTTTGAGTAAATCTACAGAAGTAAACAAATGTATGCAGAAGAAAAGAGGTGAAGCAGTGTTGCTCCTCAGAAGTCCATTGGCATTCCTTGAATCAAAGCAGCAACCAGAGTTCTGTCATTGCATTCTTGTAATAACCAAATATATAACAGACCGTAGTATTAGATTTATATTTATGGTTCTCACTTCCTAGATAACAAAAAGAATCATTGATGTCGCTTGTGTGTACTATCAGGTGCCAAGAAATATTGCTAAAATTGAAAATTCAGAATTTCCTTGATAAAATATCTCCCACTGAATGTTGATGACTAATTTTCTTATCTTCAATTTATAAGAAGAGAATAATTTATTACTTATTGGAAGACAAAATTTCATCAGTTTTATTGTAAATCTTATCTCCTGCTACATCGATTACAGATTGTGTTCTGTTTCTAGCATAATAATTTGTCAGGAGAATGGGGATAAAGGTTTAATGAGTAGAGCCAACCATGCTAGTAGGATTAATGCTTTATTTCAATTGATCTTCTGGAAGAGGTGACAAATTTTGCATGATATCTTTCACTTTTATTATAATGTTCTAAATTTCATCCAGCTGATCTGAACATTTTGTGCAATGTGTTTTTGTAGTTCATTTTAGAGCTCTTCTTTTCGCCACTTTCCAGTAACAGAAATGAAACAAGTTGCTTTCTTTTTTATTTAATGGAAAACTCAGTGAAACAAGGATTTTAACCTCTGAAAGTCCTACAACAGGTGCCTTTTTTGGATAAGATAAAGCAATATTTGGAGATGCTCTTACAAAAGATGAACTTGAAGATGTTATTTGCGCCATCAACTATTGGGGCGGTATGGCATCGCTACTTAATTTCACATATAATGCATATATAACTTGTTCTTGTGACAAGTGGTGTTTTAAGAATTTCTTTCCAGTTAGCTTGTGCAATACATAAGTATGCAGATAGATGACAAACTTATACAATCAAAACCTGACTTGTTCATCTATGATACCTATTAGACCTATTTAATATGGGAGAATGACTATTAGGAAAAAATCTCCTTGGACAAAGTTGATCAAAATGATGTTTAATTGTCTGCAAGACTCATTCAAGTTTCTAATACATGCAAGCATAGATACATACATTTGCAAGGATTCTTCAAAAAATAGTTTATTGCACTGCTTACCCTCATATACAACCTAAGCATCCTAGTGCACTAATTGAGCACTTGACATTTTTAACCATTCTAGTGAGATTATTATACATTAGATCAACGGGAGATGCAACCATATGAGACTTTTGTATCATGAAAACTCATTTGTCAGCTAAAATAATGATGTGAATTTGCACTACAATGGAATATGTAACTTTTAGAATTGCAGGTCAGAGCCTGAAGAATTACCTCTTGTATATATGCAAGAGAAGATATATATTTACGTATCTCATTGGTGGAGTTGCTAATGAAAATTGAACAAAAACACTTACCAACTGTTCAGTCTTCTACAGATTGCTGGTTTTGTAGTTGGACTTGTACCTCAAATTCGAAAGTTGTTGATTGGTGACACAGCTCCTGTCCATGTTATCCAAGATACCGCACTTCTGCTTGGGTATAAAGTCTATTTTATTCACTTCTCCGAACTCCGCATTTCTGCAGTAAAACATGTGTAAAAGGGCATGCATGCAATTGCTTGTGTAAAAAGTTATAATGTAATTATGGAAACACTGTTAGAAGATTACAGAGTGACAGAGTTGTGATCAGCTGAATAATTTGAAGGGATTTATTTTGGCATATCAAGCCAGTGGTTGAACTATTGCCATAGATAAGATGAACGAGTGAGTGGATCATTGACTAGCTTGATATGTCCAATTAAATCAAATGCTTATTCTTTGTCATTTATATCGGTTTGGTTCCTCCCAAGAAACATAAGTCAACCAAAGATGTATATGCCTATTTATGATGGGCAAAAGAGTAGAACTCGAGTTTCTTTATGCTGATACATAAATCTAGAGCATTCTGTTTGGTATGATATAAGTCCGCTAAATTATCTGCCTAGCAGAAGATCTGTCATGATTTTGCACAGAAGTCGCAGAAAAGGTACAATCTAAGTACACCGGTTATGATCCTAAAATTAATGCAACAAACTGACTGCAGTTTAAGCTTCTTAAAACAAATGGATGGAAATCAGCAAGTTGTTTTTTTTCTTAAATTTGTGAGTTCAGGGAGTATCAGTATCAGAGTTGGTATCAACATCAACTCTTTCCCAGGAATAGTTCCAGGACCGGATTACAGGTCGGACTAATACGTAAAATAAAATAAAATTACACATGATTTTTTATTTTTTACGTAAATTTTTTTTTCTAACTAAAAAAAAAATTAGTTAAATTTTTTTTTTTAACTAAAAAAAAAATTTGTTGGGGGGGGGGGGCCCCCCCCCCCCCCTCCCTCTCCATCCGTCCCTACTCTTTCCGTCTTCAACTGTCCTAAACAGATAAAGATAATTTTGCTCTTTGCATTGCTACCATACATTGAAAATGGGCATCTAATCATAATCATAAATTCATAATGAAGGTTTTGTCATTTTTCTTCTTGAATGCTCAACTTCATTATAATCCATGAAGGTTCTCAGATTCATAGTCCAATAATACAGGGATGGATCTATTCCAGCTGTCACACTGATATTGGGAGGAAACCTTTTAAAGGGTAGGTGTTAAATTCAGCTTCTAAATATGGTTATATTTGGTTTAATCTGTCAGTTTCCTTTTGAAAAGAAACTCTCTCTTACTATCTCTGTATTCTCTTTCAGGCTTAAAAGGTTCTGGGATTCAGAAGTCTGTTATTTTAGGCATAATAATTGTTCGGTACATTGCCCTGCCTCTGCTAGGCATTGTCATTGTGAAAGGGGCACTTCGCTTTGGTTTGGTGCATCAGAATCCATTATATGAATTTGTTCTTTTGCTTCAGTTCGCACTTCCACCAGCAATGAACATAGGTTGTGAAAGCTGCAACCTTTCCTACTTTGTTCTAGTTTTCCCATTTCTCCAATAAGCGTGTTATATGTATATTAGTGGATACGTAGAAGAGAGATGTTTATTCCGAGTTTTTACCTTATAAATAAGACTGATTCTTTTGATGTAGGTACTATGTCTCAGTTATTTGGTGCTGGAGAGAGTGAATGCTCAGTTATTATGCTGTGGTGTTATGTCTTGGCTTCGTTAGCACTCACTCTGTGGTCAACGTTGTTCCTGTGGCTCGTGGCCTGAATAGAATACACATTTCATTTTCCATTATACTTACATTTACTGGTCTTAGACTTGACAGTTTTGTGATATTAGACCATCCATCTGTTGAAGATTTTTACAAAGGATGAGTAAATGGACAAATGGGACCAAGAAAGAAAAAGGGTTATAGAGCATTGGAGGGAGGGGAAAAATCTTCCAACCTTCTGAGAATTTATGAGCACTTAAATCCCTTCATTTTTCATTTAAAGCTGTATTTCCTTGTTATTTGATTTGTGAAATTCCATGTAGAAAATACAAATTGGACGCTTCAATGATTACCAATGACTGTTTCTTTTAAAAGTTGGGTTGTTTCAACTGCAATTACTAACTGTATCCTACGCTACTAATATCTAGGAGTTCGTACAGTTGATGAGAATCAACGTCTTGATAGTTTTTCGACATCATGACCAGCAATGTACGCTAGTAATGAGATATGTGACCAAGTGGTTCATTTCATGAGATGCAATTTAATTCTTTCCTTGAAAAATATATGCAGAAATTTCTGGGTGTGAATTCCACATGGATCCCTGTTACTTTACGTCTTGCAGTCTCAGTAACCCCATTGATAAAGCCAATCCAACAGAAACTATGTCCAAAATATTAACTGAAGTTCTCGTATAAATCCACAAACACCTTTGAGAAGCCCTATTTGAGTTACAATTTTTCAATTTAAGCTTCTTTTTCAAGTGCATGGGTATTGAGAAACAAGGTACATGGACATGCCATGTAAGCCAGCAAATGAACCACCATGAGAATTGAGATTGCACACTGGCCTCCCACATCTTCCAAATGTTTTCTTGGCCAGGCAAACTTTCCATTTCCGAACAAATTTCGCAAGCATATGTTGAGAAACTGTGCTGAACTTATGTTTGAAAGAGTCTTTATAACGAACAGAAAACCCTCAGCATGACACTCTACCAAATGAAAGACCGAAGAATCAAAATTTTGAAATGCATCCATATTCAAGTATCACTTCAATGTGGATGGTGTATTGAAGATCAAATTCCACCTTCTTAACATCCAAAAATTGATAAATGAAACTACAATATCATTCTTAAGCATAGATTTGTACTCAAGTAATAAATCACTGTGAAATAAGGATGTTCCTTGAAGAGTCCATTCTTTCTATCCACAAACTGGCAAACATACAATTACATCTAGTTTAAAAGCAAAAACATCGCCCTCCTGGCAATCAACAGCATGCCAAAATACTTCAAAAGGAATACTATGGCTTCAACCAATTCAATTCAAGTCTGGAGATTGACCCTCACACTTTGCACCTTCACTGATATTTTTAACTTCTGCTCTTCCATCTCTCTCAAAACAAGCAGCAGCTTTGCTTGGTATGCCTCACATATCTGACTTGCATTTTCCAATTCAGCTGTTAATTCCTGAATTTTCTTTTCTTGATTCTGATAAAAGAAAAGGGAGATGATAGTCGAATTTTAGATATAATTGAGACTAGAAGCATGAATGAACTGAACTACATATAAAGTGGTGTAATAGAACGACTACACATTCATGAATATCAAAAATATAATTATTTTTGTACTTCCACTGAGTAAGGGGGGAGTGGAACCTTGATACATCAAGGCAAAAACCTGAGGCAGCTTAAGAATCTACATAATTTTACATTAGACACCCCATCACTATGTGACACAGGATAGGAGAAGAAAGCAGCAAGAAAGACGGGGGGAGAGAATGAGGGAAGAAGCCGGAGGAGAAATCAGGGGAGAAGAAGGGAAGAGAGGAAACGTGGCTGCAAGCTAAAAACTCAATTCATTTTTTACTCATTCATCATCTAATTCAATCGACAATGAAAAATCCAATAAATAGCAAAAACCTAACCAAATGACAGGCTTAGATCAACCCACTACTACAAACTCAATAATAGATCGCATAACTAATAAGGTCCAATAAAAATAAAAAACTAAATATCGATTATTGATGTCTGCATCAACTCTCCCGGGATAGGAGAAAACTCGACCCCGTCGAGTAGATAAACTTCTACTACTGGGGGACGATCTTTCGTAAGAACCAAATATCGAAACTCCAACAGTGCAATCCAGATTTGTTGGAGCTTCTCCATAGGACTCCATATACGGTCTACATCAGGTGGAACTACCCAGTGAGCAAGGAAGCACCGAATCTCTCCATCATTGCTCTAATACCACTTTGATGCAGAATAGAGAGAAGCAGGAGGGAAGGAGAAGCTTGGAGAAGAGAAGGGGAAAGAGAAGAAGCGTAAAAGAGAAAAAAGGGGGAGACTGTAATCGCCAAAGAAAAATTTTATTCAATCATTAACTGAAGTCAACTACAATGAAAACCCAATAAATAACAGAAAATGACCTAATTTTAAGGGGTTTGGGCCACCTCACTATTACAAGCCCAATAATACTAAACACAAACAATTAGTTCCAATAACAATAAATCTTGATGATGTCTTAATGATGTCCGCATCACTATGATATGAAGTTAAATCTTCACAACTTATTAGGCCCTTCAATCTTATCTTCAAAACTTTCTTTAATCGTTCTCAATATTTGCTTTTCCCAAATATGGACGCTTTTATTGAAGTTTAATTTTTATTCAACAAGCGAGTGGTAATTTACATGCTTTGTTCAAATATCAGACCATATGAATATTCAATATTATAATGTAAGGAAAATACAGAGTGTTTTGCAGAAACCATGCAAACTGAAAACTATATTATAAGAAAAGAACTTACACTGGGATCACTTTGTGTTTCATTTACGTCAATCCCCTGATTACACTTAATGATCTGAGTGCTCTGAACAACAGATGGTGTATCCTGCTTTGCAGCAGCAACCTGCCTTGCAGCCTCACGTAGAGCATTCATTGCTACATGGTAAACATGCACAGAATCTGCTCCATCTTCTACATATTTGATGGCTTCCTTGCTTAGAATATCATAGCGAGCAGTGAAGGACTCTTGAGGATTATTTTCCAAACCAAGATTGCTCTCANAATGAAGAGATTTACTTCTTTACCTTCTCCAATGTCCAACCGCACTCTTGGCATTTCTCGTCCACCGTTTCAAAATATATTGAGATGGAAGTGTTAAAAGGTTTGCCATTCTGAAAACTGCTAATATATGCCTGCAAAGAATGCCTGAAAACTCAAACATTTGGCAGCTACAATTAGCTTTCTTTTCAAAAACATTGAACCGAATAAAGTGTGCCCTATGGCCTTCTCCATACTTTGCCACCCGATAGAGGATGTCCACCCCCATATCATGGATTATTATTACCTGATTAGCCAGAGTCTCAACCAATTCCTCCTGAATTTTCATAAATATTTTCCTTGTATAAATGCTAGCTGCCTGTTTTTCCATAGGAGATGGGGTTCTTAGAACTGCCATAGTATTTATGGTATCATAATCTGCCATCACTTCTTTTTCCCGTCTACTGGCAATGGCTTTCTCACACTGCTTAATTAGGACTTGTATACTTGTAGATGCATTGATATATCCACTAAAGAATGAATTTACGTTCTCACTGGACTGGGTAATAGACATCTCCCCAAAGAATGTATCACGGAGAAAAACTGGTACCCACTGCCATCGATCATCATACATCACCTTAAGCCAGTCACTACCTGTTAAACCATATCTCTCAAGGAGAGAGACCCAACATGATTTGAACTCATCAATTGTTTCAGTCTCATCAATGCACTTATGGAATTCTACTTCAAAAGAAGGACAAGAGTGGAATACATGAGACAGTTTATCCTGTGCCTCCCTAAATATATTCCATTTACAGAAGCGATGACGTGCATTCGGAAATACCTGAATGACAGCTGCCTTTATGATCCTATCATGGTCAGTAGTAATAGATATTGGATGACAACCAGACATCGCATCAAGCCAAGCCTCGAATAGCCAAACAAAGGAGGACTCAGATTCATTGAAGAGCAATGCACAGCCAAACAACACTGGTTGTCCATGATGGTTCAGTCCTGTAAATGGGGCAAAGGGAACCCTATAACGGTTAGTCCTATAAGTTGTGTCAAACGTAACCGTGTCTCCAAAGTACTTATAATTCATCCTAGAAGTTGAATCGGCCCAAAAAATGTTCCCATGTGCATTTTCGTGGTCGCCTTGGATAGCATAAAAAAGACCAGGATCCTTGGCCTGCATATCCTTCAAATAGTCAATGATATGCTGACCCCTACTTCCAAGGGTCCTCTGTCGGCTGCTGCTCATGTAATTTTGGCAATCAACCTTTGTGAAACCAACATTACTAATTCCACCTGATTCAATTGCCAACACTGTCATCACCCCAGTCGGCCCCATTCCAGCTGCTTGAAGGGTATCAATCAAGCTTCGAGCAGGTCCAGACACATGCCTATGAGAGCGAAGGCAATGTACCTTATCCAGTGGCACAAGCTCGTGATTATGCTCCTTTACAAATTTTGTTACAGCCCATTTCCCAGAATCCTGTCTCTTAACAGTCAATTGCGCTTTACAACCGACCCTTGTGACAGTATGCTGGCGTTTTGACTTGTTTTCACTACCTTCGCGTCTAAACCCCTCTCTCGAACACACAACTTGGCGACAAATGATGGATCCATCGCGCCGCGACCTCTGATACACACTAACTCGAGTGCTAAACCCAACCCTCCGTGCATACGAGTTGTAGAAAATTCTACCAGCCTGTTCAGAATCAAATTCCATTCCCTCATAGGGTTCGAGATGGAAATCCCCATCATTCCCATTCGAAGATGACAAAGAAGTTCGAGCCCCTTCGACTAATGCATTGCCGTTACAATTATCATCATATTGAAATTGTTGTCCTAAAACATAACCAGTCTCTTCTTCTTCCCCAGAACCCACATCGAATTCCATGTCCTCGTTTTCCAAGTCCAATCGTACAAGGTCCATGCGGACTAACAATTGACTTCAACATACAGCTTCCTTTCGAATTTATGATGATTTTGCTAAATTTAAACGGTGAATTTGCAAATGTTTTGTAGTCCTTAGTAATTGGTTATGGTTAAAAATGGATATAGAAATAGTAGAATGATGCATCAGACATTAACAAAGCGCAGAATGTTTAACAATGACTAACCTAAAATTGCAGCATTTTCGAACAGTAAAAATCAGCTGACAGGTTCTCCGTCAAGATTTTAGTACTATTTTGAAGTTTAACAAAGATTTTGCAAAGCGAAAAGACAGCTCCCAAGTCGCAATTGTGGAAAGAAGGGAAAGAGGTGCAGTGGAATGGGGTAGGGTTGGTTTGGGTCCAATAACTCTATAGCTGTTTTTCTTTTCTCCCTCTGTTTTTGGGTATTTTTCCATAAATCGAACACACCTGAAAACAATTTCCTAAAGCAGCAAGAAAGCATAAATTTGGTCCAAACATCGTATTGCTCAAAATGTGTAGTATTGTCTCCGTTTTATTTCTTGTTTAGCGATTGTTGGAAGCACTACTATTTGAATTAATCTATTTGTAAAAAAGTGTACGACAAAAGTGGATTTAAAAAGTGACGTGGCAAAATCTATGATGTTGATTTTAAAAAGTGTTTTTTAATTCATTGATTGACAAGATGCCACATCACATTTTGTAAACTATTTTTGTAATTCATTTTTGTACAAATAGCATCACTCCTACTATTTTAAAAAGAATTGATTTTTGTACCATTGAAATGGGGCCCACCTTTGCTATTATGTAGAAATCCACAAATTTTAACCGTTCTAATGTGATTTAATTTTGTCAATTGTCATTTTTGTTCTTCATTTCTATGTAAATATAAAATTATGGAGAAACAATCATGTCATTTTACACGCCCACATTATTTGACAATTCAAATTATCACTGTTATAAATCAATAATCACGGTAACATAGGGACCCATTGCATTTCCAATGGTTGGAATTTTGCTTAAAATATAGTGAAAACCCCACATAGACGGGCGCTTAGTTTCCTTAATATCGATACGGTTGGGGTAAATCTTTGAGGACTCCACACATCTTTGAAGTAGGAGAAATTTCAAAAAAAAAAAACTTGAAAATTGTAATTGAAGAAACTCTCGAATCGCTACAAATATTCCTGAATTGAAAAGGTTCAAGGCAATATTGCGCCATTTTCCTTAAGCCGATTTTGTTGTATACTAAAGCAAAACAAATATGTCACCAAGATACAATGGAACAAGATATATTATGTGTTGTGGTATACTAAAGCAAAACAAATATGCCACCAAGATACATTGGATCAAGATATATTATATGTGCTGTGTACAGGAGAAGATAACCTCGAAGTAGGATGAATGGCTTATTTAAGAGCGGGATCATATTTTGTCTCTGTAGATTGACTTGATAAAACTAATGTTTTGAGAAGCAATGATAGCAAGAAAACAATTTTGGGAGGAAGAAGTAGAGAAATATGTTATTATTTACTTAAGCACGCACATCGGAATTAAAATAATTTCAATATCCAAAAGTCGAAGTTTCTTCGTGTTTGCATAGAATTCGTGATACAAATTATACATTTGACGATTCCTATTAGCTGCGAAGATTTATAATCTAATCTACCACGATCTCAACAAACTTTAGTTATCTAGCCTCAAATAGTAATCCATACAAAGAGAACAACTTGGAACTCAACCACTCCAAAAAAGGACACAATGGCTACCGACTGCGGCAAGGCAACGATCAAATTTGAGAAAATTATAGTTTGAACTTGATTTTCCCAAAATATTTCTCCACCTTCCTTTTATTATCCTTTTATTGCTCCAATTCTTCCCCAAAATATTAAGAAAAAAGAAAAGAAAAGAAAATCAACGGAAAAGAAATAAAAAGGAAAAAAAAAATGAAGCCAGAAGAAACTGCTGAGTTTTTCTCTTAAAACTCTAAAATTGTCTTCGTATCAAAAAAAAAACTCTAAAATTGTCCAGAAATTGTAGCCATGATACCAATTCTTGCCAAAATGATTCTTCATTTTTTTTTTTTTTTGCTTTTTGTGCACAAGTTTTCTAGCAATTTGCATTCATGGTCCCTCAAATTAGGTCCTTAGAATTTGACATTTTTAATTAAGCCCTCCATAAATTTCATCCAAGGTCCTTCAGCTCTATGCACTTATGCACTTTAGTCCCCAAATTCATAATTTTGTACGCTCCATTTTCACTCCATTTTGCTTTTTCTCTTTCCATTTGGGATTTATGACCTACAAAATTCAAAATTACCCAATTGTAAGTTAATATCCCCTCTTTTCATCAATAAAAAACATATTTTGATATTAAATAAGTGTGCAAAAATACATTTATTATTCAACATCAACAATGGCCTTCTCAATGGCCCTCAAATGCTACAAGATGCTTCATATTCCCTTTTAAATATATAACATCATAGACTTCTTCGATGGTGAGATTATCACGATTATATAAAATTGTGTCTCTAAAAGACAAGTATGAAATGGGCAAGGAACACAATAAAAGCAATCCTAAATCTTCTTCATCATACTTGATCTCCAATGTCTCCAAATCAACAACGATTTTCTTAAAAGCAACTGGGTAATCCTCGAGAGATGTACCTTTTATCATAAGCTGAGAATATATATATGTTGTTTCAGATGCAATTTGATGTAATTTGCTAGTAACTCTTCGTCATACATAATTTCACCAATTTTAATGATACTGTAGCGGTTGACTTCTCCTTCAAAATATCCTAAAAAATATTATTTGAAAGATGAAGATGTATTTGAGATAGGGCATTTCAATCCCTCCTTTATTTCTCCTCTGAAATACAAGTTGAAGGCATCTTGTCAAATCCTAACAACACGTTATCCAAATCTATTTGGGTGAGTATTGCTTGCATCTTTACATGCCACAAAAAGAATTTTATATTGCGATCCAATAGCAAAATATCATACTTCATTGTTGTCATCATGAAAGATCAAGTTGAGCTATTTACTTGATCAAAACCTCGATCTTTCTAAGAATTTCAAAACCAAAAGCTCTAATACCAGTTTGTTGTAAAATGTGAAAAAAATCAGGTTAATCCAATATCAATTTATTGGAGAAATAAGAGATTATAGAAACAACACGAAGTAATTGACCACAATAACACAAAAACAAAATAATTTGCAGAGGATAAAGATTCTATTATAATATGGAAAAAGAATACAAAAATTTGTGTTAAGAATGTTTCTAACTTCATTTAAATCATAATGAAAAGCCAACTATATATAGGAAAAAATAGGGGACATCCAAAACCTTATAGTAGAGTTGTAGTTGAAATAGATTGCAATAAACATCATTAAAAACAGAAGAGAAAAAAATAGTAGAAGAGGGCACGGATTGGTTCGGACCGATTCTAAAGGGAATTGAACCGAACTGAATACCAATAGGAATCTTAGAAATGGAATCATATGTGTAGCGACCGAGAAAAGTTCAAATTTTTCTTGTAGAATTCGAAAATAAATAAGTTATATTATTAAGTCACTACGACCCTTCCTAAGAGTTCAATTTAAAGTTTTGGTCACGATAGTAAAGTTGTGTACACTTATCCATTGTCAATTTATTTTCCAATTTGTATATTTAATTCAAATATTCTCCACTCACCAGATTTTATCCCATGTTTTAACCACTAACCCATGTTTATCTCCACTAACTAACCATGTAACCATATGATTAAATCCCATGGCATTTGAGTTAAAAGGCACGTCCACGCATTTGAATATTTAACCACCCACTAAAATTATCATTTGTAACTGCATTGGCCATCAACAATTAATTTGAAATTTGAAATTAATGACCGTCCATTTTAGTTCTAAACATCATGAGTTTATCATTTTAGTTCTAAACATCATGAGTTTATTTTGAAACCTCAAATTTCAAATCCTTTAACCAAGTTTTCTCTCCCAAATAATTATACCTATACACAATTTATTTTGGCATTTTACCATAAATTAAACAAAACCTTTGAATCTGAAAATTATCGGAAGGAGAAGCTTTGAGTGCGCTGAATTTTACTTTGGACACAAAAGGTTATTCAAATTCCAAGCATTTAAGGTAGGGATGTTTTCTACACTTTTGTATTGAAGTAAAAATTTATGTGTTTTCGAATTGCTTTAAATGTGTTATTGTGTTGCTTATGAGAGAATGGAAGCACCTTTTGGTGGTTCAAACAAGAGATAAAGAGATGATGTATGACAGTTGAATGGGGTTTTCAAAACCCGAAGAGTAAACGGTTGACTGATCACCGGTTCGTTTTGCTAGATTGACGGTGACACAAATAACCAAAGTTTGCATTCTGAAAATATATATTTTTACCATTTACTTAAGTGTTTTTCCTACTGAGTATTACTTGTGATACTCATCCCTACAAAATTTACAGGTTCATTGAAGGCATAGTGGTGGCATGGCTTGGTGGCAAGTGTTCAGGCAATTTTAAATTCTTTTAAGTTCTAGTAATATGTCCATTTATGAAAACCTTTTATGAATGCTTATATGACACTTTTAACAATGTTTTAATGTTTATCTCGTCTGGTTTTATGTAATTTGCATGACAACTATAATTTAAAATGGTTGAATTGACAATGCGTGAAATTTATTTACTGCTGAATTGAATTTCAGATTCTGCCTTTAATTTGAAAATGGTATAACTTGGGTTACGGTACATATTTTTGAGTGAAATTAGATGGGTTTGAAATATCTACGAGTCTTCTAACAGTAGCCATTGGAATTTACTTAAAATAGTATCTAGAGAAAAAGTTATGCCTGTTTTAGTAAACTGCGTCGGAACAGTGACGAGTTTTCTGTCCCACTTGGTTGAAAAATATTTTCGTACTGTAAACGTCATCTTCAAGACCCAAAATTTTTATATGTTGTTCCTACATGGATGTAAATATCTCAGTTAAAATTTTATAAGTTTTTGGCGATGTTT